ACAATGTAACAACAAATCAAAGCCTAACTTGACTCACGCCTTTGACCTACTTTTTCTAATTGCTCTCTGTGACTGTTGGCTTTCTTTCAGTATTCTGTGTGCCAAATTGCATCATAATGTTGATGCCACATTCCTGAGCGAGTCATTCCTTAAATACTCATCTAAATTAATGTTTTATTTATACAGGCAGAAAAGTTCAAGTTTAGCTCAGGTCAAAACCTTTTTGGCTTTTTTTCTTGGTCATCTAGACAGGAAGTAAGCAAAATCGATCCATATGGGGAAAATGCCAATCAATTTAACCAAAACAAAAAATAAAACGTTGGATTTTAAAGACCATTGTAAGGTGTTTTCTTATCTCACAGAAGCTCAGATGGAAACGGTCTGTGCTTGATTTTCTGGGTTTGTACACCAGTTTGTACACCAGTCATAGAGCACCCCATGTGGACAGGAACACCAAATACCAGAATATGAGCAGGAAAGGAGCCAGAAAATATGGCAGAGGTTTACTTATATGAGATAAACCAGGGGCCCCTAGGGTCATAAAACCCTTTATATCCAAATGAGTAATCTTTTTTTTTTATATATATATGTCCAACACACTTGGTATTGGAATAATCTATTGTTTGAATGAGAGGCTCCTCTATACTGTATATCACTGTTGGGTTCTAGGGTAGAATTAATTTCTGTATTGTATCCCTCTTTAAATACAGTACATGTATAAGTAAAATACCACTTTTGAGTGGGCTGGCCCATATAGACACTGTCATATTTCATCACCGATATTTACCACTTCAGTAATCCCCCTGCTCCTTCCCCAACCACCAAAATACCCGATCACTGGAGATGGGTCAGGGGGCAATTTAAACAGATACTGTCACTATCTGAACAGACAACTGTCTGTGGTTACATCTGCTGCCCCCATGTCGCTTCTGTGCTCTGTAGTGTTGAAGGGACCAGGGGACAAAACCACAGAGCTCAGTAGGACAGGTATCTGACACTATTGGAAATGTCTGTTAAATACTAAATATTCTTCATAAATTAGTTCCTTGAGAGTGAAGATCAGGACAGGTAAGTATTCGTTATTTTGTTTTCAGGGAGTTTTTTTTTTTAATTATTATATTTATTAATTTTTCACAAAAAAAAGCAACAGAACAATACAAATATAAACAGAAACATTTTCATTATCCAGGAGATCTTACAATTACTTACTTGTTTTAAACTCTATAATTAATTTTATCACCTCCTTAAAAGAAACCTCCCCTCTCCTTTCTATTAAAAACTCATTATGCTCAAGTAAGGCGTGCTATATAGCCAGAGGGAAACTATCTTCTAATTCATTTCAAATAGACAGACTACTCCAATACACAGACAAACAAAACAAAACAAAACCATAAAATAAAAAATAAATAAATTGAAATTTTAGACGAGCTGGCGTCTTTTAAATTTTAAATTATACAATGTATCCCCTAAACCCTCAGGAAGGCTCTTTTCTCGCTATTTCTTCTATTTGAGCAGTCTTAGAATTTTGAATCCAACTATCCCATGTGTCCAAGAACTGAGGGAGTCTGTCTTGCATCCTAGCCCCAAGTTCTTCCATCCGTTGTTAAAAAAAACATCTCCTCCATCCATTCTCGCAGCTTCGGAGGTTCTGTTGATTTCCAATGACGCTGTATAACTGTCCTGGCTGCACTTAGGAAAAAACAGAGGAGGCCCTTTTTTGCTGTTGCTATACCGCTATACCCCCTGGAAAAACGGAAGCAGGGAGGTTTTTTTCTTTTTTAATAATGACAGAGTCACTCTAAGGCACATTTTTTTTAAGCAAGAGTACAGATTTTTCTAGAATGCTACAGACAATATACACTGCTTGGCCAAAAAAAAAGTCACCACTCTTAATAATTAGTCGACTGCCTTTAGCTTTGATTATGGCACACATTTGCCGTGGCAACGTTTTGATAAGCTTATGCCATGTCACATTTATTTGCACCCGGAGTTGCATTAATTTTTCACCAAGATCTTGTAGTGATGATGGGAGAGTCGGACCTTTGCCTAAAGTCTTCTCCAGCACATGCAAAAGATTCTCAATGGGGTTAAGGTCTGGACTCTGCGGTGGCCAATCCATGTGTGAAAATGATGGCTCATGCTCCCTGAACCACTCTTTCACAATTGGAACTCGATGAATCCTGGCATTGTCATCTTGGAATATGTCCTGTGTGCAATCGGGGAAGAAAAAATCCATTGATTGAAAAACCTGATCATTCAGTATATTCAGGTCGGCAGATGACCTTATTTTTTGGGCACATAACTTTGCTGAACCTAGATCTGACCAACTGAAACAACACATAACACTGCCCGCAAATCCAAGTGGTGACTTTCTTTTGGCCAAGCAGTGTATTTAAGTGGCCACTTATGAAGGAAATGGTGGAAGAACCAAAAACAAAGTGCAGTACTAATGCTAGCCAGAATACTTTATACGTTTATCTTGCTCTGCACTGGATTGTGAGAGGAGTCAGGTGAAGCCAGCTCATCACACCAACTGATCAGTGATTGTTATTTGGAAGATATCATGTTTATGTAAACCAAAGCTGGCCAGACATTGAGTGAACTTTGTCCATTTCTTAATGAACTAGCTGAATACCCACGGCTCTCAAAGTAAATATTCTGGAGGGGTGGGGAGGGAGGATTCAACTAACAGTGTGGATGGGCGAATCTTTAAAATTTTTGGCGTTCATTCTGCAAGCAGAATGGAAGCAAATTTACTAGTGTATGGCCAGTAAACCAAATTCTGTGTGTTATATGTGTTTGCTGTCCAGGTCACACTGCAAAGCATAGGACACCAGCATAGACCTCCAGTCTATAAGTGGATAATGTGATCTGGGAACTTTCATAGTCTGAGATTGAGTCAAAGATAGGGGTGGACCAAGAGGAGGGGCTAACCAATGCACACTCTGGGTGCCATGGCGAAACTGAGCAATGGTTTAATAATGGCGCATGCAGTGCGAAGCAGCCAAATATGAGGCTAAAAGTGCTGTCATTTGATAGTGGCAAGCCTGCTGGGCATTAAATTAAATCACAATATGGTTATTTAAACAGACAGCGATGATTTTACAATATGAAGACAAAAAGGGCATTCACTGACAGTACATGGGTAGCAAATGAACAATTGCTACAGTTTATGGGCAGAAAATGAACAATTATAACAATACTCAAGCAAAAAACAGGCAAAATGTAGCTAATAATGTAGCTTTTAGTGGTTTTATAAATTTTCTTCTCCAAAGACCAACTTACATGACAAGTATACTGTACCAGTATACTGTACCCAAGTGTCAAAGGGGGAGGATGCTTGTGCAATTATTTAACGGTACGTCATTTACCGTAAAAGGCCACATAGCCACATTAGATAAATGTCATTTACCAGATATAGGCATTTATCCATATAAAGTAATTGAAATCACAGCCTTCAGCCTCTTCACTCATGTCAAGCTGCTCACAGCAGATTGGGCAGCACAGAGGGAGCTTCCTTACATTGTTTGTTTGGGAGGAACTCCTTCCAAATTTGGAGTAGCTCAGGTTTTTGAGATTCACATGGTGGCAGACTCTGGAGTAACTCTTCCTTATCCAGATGATACTGGCTCTATGGAATTTGTGTGTCCCACATAGCACACAACAGCAGTGAATAAAGCCTAAACACAAATATGTAATGTAAAAACACAAAAATGTAATATGTTGCAGTTTAATCCTTAAATCTGGTTGCCAAATTTGGTGGGTTTTTTTAGGTTTTTTTCCTTTACTTTGACCTAGTGATTTGGCTAGTGACCAGGGCCAGATTTACTCTCTCTGCTGCCCCATGGCATGGTTCCTCAATGCACCCCCCTGTATGCAGGCCGCATACAAGTGATCTCGACGACATCGCTGAGATCACTTGTACAAAGCAAGTGGTGGCTTCCCCGCTGTACATTTAGCTCTGCTTGCCCAAAGCAAGGCTAAATGTAGAAAACAACTACCCGCCTGGCGCCCAGAACTGCATGTCCTGGGCGTCAGGAGATAGGAATTCCACACCCCTGCTGCCCCTCTACTCCCTGCTGCCCCAAGGCCGGGCCTTGGTTTGCCTTGTGGGAAATCCGGCCCCGCTGGTGACACACTTCCTGGCTCCACTCTATGGAGGAACAACGGAGCCACCCTTGTACAGCAGTATTGTCAACCTGTGGAGAGGGTAGTATTACATGCATTAGCATAAAAGCTAACCATGGTAAGCAACCCTGTCAGTGTTAAATGATTTGTCTCAACCCTCTGTCTGCCACTTTTGCTGAGCAGCTTGGCCTGTTAAAGGAAATTGGAAATGAACTTAGTGGCTGGATCACTAGGTGAGAATAAAGAAAACAAATAATGCAGCCACCATGTAAAGATTGCTGAGCTGCAATATATTACATTTTAGCTTTTGGGCTCAGATATGTTTTAACACCCCATAAAGTCCAAGGGCACATGTCTGAGACAGTCTGCTGCAATGCAGTTCAAATGAAAATCCAGAGACACAAAATAGGAAGGAGAGGAGGAGAAAATGAGAAAGCAGCACAATTGTCCACCAAACTCCAGAGACCGAAATAGATGTGTCAAAAACAGGTGAGGAGGGCATTGCTCTTTACATTTTTCATCTGTGTAGCGTTTGGCGGACTCCTTTATTATTCGTCCATTACAACCTAATAAATGTAAATGCTTTATCTGATGTAGATTGTTTATCCCAATGCCGTACAATATGTACAGTATGTCCTCGGGACAATTATAGCTTACTACATGATTACATTAACACAATGCCATATTATACACTTGGATTCACAGTATAATTAAAGTGCTTGTATAGGTTTTGTCAGCAAAGTTTATTTGTACACAATGTTCCTCACTTAATTTATTATTGTATGTCCAAAGGGAACATTTCTTTTTGATTTGCAAGCTTCCTTGTATGGTGGCATAAATACGGGTGAAGCATAAGCAGAGAGTCGCATTGGATCAGGGACTCACGTTTCCTTCAAACCATATCCACCATGGAGCTTGTACTGAAGATACTACTGATAGTCTCCATCTCTATCGCTACCGGTGAGAATTTGCAGCTATCAAGACTGGAGATTGGGTATCAGTGGAGAGATATCATAAAAATTGATTTTGATGTGTAAATACCAATTTAGCAATTGCTGCAATTTTCATGGAGTACTATCAGTTTCCTTCACTGAGCAGCTTAGTGAAAATTTGCTTGAAAAAAAAATCGACTTTTTTGTTTTCTTTTATTTAGAGGATATTTTTTATGTTTAGTTTATTTTATTTAGTGTTCTTTGTGTTTTTTTTTTTCCTTGTTTTACATATTTGATCCCTATTTATGTACTGCCGCATTACATTTTTTTTTCTCTATATTTTAAAGTTTTCTTCTGGGGAAAAAAAACATTGCAGCATGTACACTAACTGCCTTCAGATCCACAGCCTTCTACCTTTATCTTTCAATGTGCATTAGAAGACTACATAATTTTAATTTCACCAATTTCAGCATTACAGTTCACATACAGTATATGTATTTCCCTTTGTGTATTTAACCGCATGCCAACAGTTTAGTTTTAATGACAAAAAACTATCCACAGGTATACACCAGTGTAATAATAAAGAGTAAGTTATATTTATTTTCTTTGTAACAGGGACCTGCCTTGTGTGTGAGAAATGCAAGAACTTTCATGGAGAGACCTGCAATGAGACTCAGACCACCACTGAGGTCTGCGACAAGTCGGTAACGCAATGTCGGACTACCATTATGGTCGAAACATTTGGTAATTTTTTTTATCTATGTGCTCCTCTCATTGTGATTTTTAAGATTTAATACAAATGGCTAAAAGCATGTGGACACCACCCCACATTACTTTAGTAGGTGCTTCCAGCGAAGAGTATTGTTATTGCTACTCCATGCAAAGACATTTTAGACTATTGTGCACTTCCAACCTTGTGGTAACAGTTTGGGATCTTTTTCTAGTTCAAGATGGCTGTGTCCACAAAGGCAGCTCCATAAAAACATGTCTCCAAAAGATCAGCTGCCCAGAGACCAGAGTAAGTGTTATCCAACGTGGTTTGATGAGTTTGGTGTGGAGGAACTCGAGTAGCCTGCACAACGCCTTATCTCCAAACCTACTTCTTTTCATCCAACACCAGTACCTAAACTCATAAATGTTCTTTTTGGCTAAATGAACACAAGTTTCCGCAGACACACTCCAAAATATGATGGAAAGCCTTCATAGTAGAGGGGAGGTTGTTAAAGCCACAAAATGGGGTGGTGGACATTTTTTATCAGCGCCCATGGTTTTGTAACGGGATGTCCAACAAACTCATATAGGTGTGATGGTCAGATGTCCACAGCCTTATAGTATATGAAAAACATGAACTAACTGATAGAGTGTTGAGGTTGAACTTCCTAGTGCCTTGCTGTCAAACCTGTGTCTGAAGGACCACATATGGCCCTTTGGTACCTAAGCAGCCCTTTGCAGATCCCCACTTTGAAGCATTAATTTGCACTGATACTGTAATGGCAGTGATCTCTAGCAGCCTCATGTAACATGTCCTCAGTCTCTGTCTCCTGCAACATGTTTCAAGTCTCTGTAGCACCCCCCTGATCCCCAAAGACCTGAAGTGGACCCCTTCACTGAGCCAGTGAAGGGATGTGTGATCAAGAAAATTGGGCGCCACTCAGTTTAAGTGCCTATTTGAATGCTTTATTGCAGAACATCAACTGGGAGAGAGAGAGTATAGCGCTTAGGACATCCATAGTAAAAGTAAGACAGACTCCAGACTCACCAATACCTTCAGACTTCCACAGTGCAGTATCAATAGGAGAACATGCTAACACTGGGTAATAGAACAACAGCTTAACATGGATAGACATGAGATCTTCCTTAGGCGAAACACAAGACTTGTTCCTGAGGTCCTTATCAGCACCTGGCACCTCCAGTAGTCTTAAAGCTTCAATCAGCCTCAATCAGTTCTAGACCCCTCCAGGGTCCACATGTGGCCTCCTCCAGGCTTGAGGCCTAGTAAACCTCTCCATCTCTGAGCATCCCACCCCCAGTCTAAGCCCGGGGGCAGACTGGACCTGAGCACATGGCAAATCCCCTGAATATTTATGCACTCCCCCAGCATGCACCAGTGGCCATGACACTCTCAGTGATTGGTTGATGGGGCATAGACAGTAAAGATGTTCAGATAAAAAGAAGGACAGAAGCTCTACTGCCATGGGATGACTAAGTGTAAACTGAAAAGACAAAATAAAGGTAACTGACAACTTACCATGAAGTGAGAGATGAAGCGATGTCATCGATGAAAGGTGGATAGTCGGTGATCCTTCAATAGTGTGAATTGACCAATCCCACACCTGCTCGCCTTTCCCAGTATCAGTTCACACACTTCTGAGAGCGCACACCATTCACACTATTGAAGGATCACGACCTATCCACCTTTCATCGATGACATCGCTTCATCTCTCACTTCATGGTAAGTTGTCAGTTGCCTTTATTTTGTCTTTTCAGTTTACACTTAGTCATCCCATGGCAGTAGCGCTTCTGTCCTCCTTTTTATCTGTTCTTTTGGATTAACGTCGGACACCCCGGTTCGCACTAAAAAGAAGCTGCACACCTAACACTACATTCCACACCCATACGCCCTTACCCTTCGTGCAGCGCTGTATCAGGGGACAACTCTCCTAACCTTTCACACTAAAGATGTTCCACTATTGGCTGTCCCACACTGCAGCAGGGTCATACCCCACTCAGGCAGGTACAGTCAACAGCAGAACACCTGGAATTAACCAGATAGTAACCAACTATGAATCAGCTAAACTGATTACAGCTTCTGATGAAGCTCCCTAATGAAGTCACGTGTTTTGACGTAATGTACGTAGGGCAGAGCTTCTGATGTCACTGCACTGAGATGAGCCGGACGAACAGGTTTTTTCATCGCTTTGCTGCCATTTGCCTTGCTGGTTTGATCCAGCAATACCCAATGCCTGTACTGTTTACACCATTGTGAGTATGCATTTTTTATTTAATAAATTGCATTTTATTGGACGTTATGCACTATGTCCTTGTCCTTTTTCTCTTTCCCCCTGGATTTATGCTGGTACCTGTGATCTGAGGTGACCTTGTCGCCTTTTCTGTGTATGGGCTTCCCTCCCCCATTAAGAAGGGAAAAAGCACATTTGACCTAGCTCTGTGGGTCTACCTCCCCAGGTGAGCACTCACTTGTTGTCATCACTCACTGGGTGGAGGTGAAGGTCTGCCTGCATTGTGTGATTATACTTACCTGAGAGTTACATGCAGATTGGCTGTGAATCATCTGAGGAATTTTCTTGCACAACCACCATTGTTTGCTTTTGTTTTTTCCTGGGACTCTTTTTGTCTATATTGCTTTTTTGTTTGTGTGTAGACATTTTCTATGCCTCATTTGTTTGAATTCTCATATATGTGACTCATTTATATATGTTTCAATTTATTAGATGTGTATGATTATTAGCTCAGCAGAATATTGTTTTTCAAATTTTCTAGATATTTAGTTATATACTTAGTGCTGGTTAGCTCTTATTTTGACATTACACTTACTGGCGCTGATCATCTTATTGTTTTTTTTTTAGCTTCTAGCAAGCTACATTTCTAGTAGCCACTCCATTAAAGAGGCTACAAATCCAACAAAACACATATCATGTCATCAGTCAGAACCATCTCTTCAGTCTTCTGTAGAATATTATAGGCAGCCCTTTGGGGCTTTCAGAGGCACTTGAGGCCCCTACACCTCAGAAGTTGACGACCACTGTCCTAGAGGCATAGAGACCCTGTATTTTTTCCCCCTCTTTCTTACAAGAAAAAGTAAGAATGACTATGACATGAATAATGCTCTTGTTTCTAGATAAGATTAGTGCTTAGTTGAGTTATTTTTGGCTGTATCTTGCTGACTATATGTACATTGCCATCCACTCCTATTTTTTGTTTCAGCTTTCTGTTGGTTGTGTAACAGTCTCCTTTTTTAGTTTATTTCGTTACCATGTTCTTATTTGTATCTCATTAGGTAATATCTCCTACTGGCAGACTTGGAAATCCTGTGTCAACAACCCACTTTTGTGCAGTGAAACGAGGAACATGTCCGTAGGATATGAGCTTTTCAAAAAAACAGTGTGCTGTAAGGGGGACCTCTGCAATAAGGGGGCAATAAAATGTAAGTCATATTAAAAACAGCGTGAAAACACAATGACTGAGTAAAACAAGTTGAAATGCAAAATTGGGGCGATGAAATGAATGCTGCCTGCTGCCATGAATACTGCCTGCATGAAAATTGCTTGTTCTTCCTGTGCATGGATGTGTTTCCTCACAATGCTCCAAATTCTGCTTACAAACCAAGTAGTTTATCCGTAGAGTATTGCCTTCTACTCTAGTTGTCCCAAGTGCATGCCTGGGTGGCAGGATCATTATATTCCAAGCTCTTTTTTAGAGTTTAGGACTGGTGGGAATTTTTCTTTGTCCTCTAGTAAGCCCTACTAAATTGGTTGATGCTAAATGAATAAGTAATGCAATAGCTCCCAAATGTCCCTCTTGTTGACAATCCTTATAGCACCAAATCCCTTCACCTTATTTGCTCCTTAGTTGTCCCTTTTTCGGGGCTAACAGATCAACCTCCATTTCTATTTCAGCATGCAGGAAAATGATGAGAAAATTTGAATATTAATTTTTTCTGGTGTGCGTGACTGGGATGAGTCCTTTGCCTACACACTTAATGCCAGTCCACAAAGGTTCTAACCCTTCCAACACTCTATCCAAAAATTGGAGTTGAGTTTAAATAACTCTGTTACCAGGTATAATGTGCAGACAGCTATAGGTTCTTACACAAACCTTCAGCAGCTTTCATTGTTTCCTCTATGCCAAAGTGCTAAGTGGCTGTTTTCAATGGGCATAGCTGCAACACTTTCAAGTGGAGCTGGAGCTTGCTCACTCCCTCCAGCTCCCACACATTCCTATTCACCAATCGCTATGATGGTCTGCCCCACTGGCCAGTGGGAATGTGTGAAAGCCAGTGCATATGCTCCATCACTACCTACTTTGCAGGTCAGATAGATCCAACATTCAAGCACGTGGGAAGCAGTGAAAGCTGCTGCACGAATGACCTAGGGGTAACTGTAACTTATACCTGCTAGCAACACCTTTTTTTTAAAAAATATTTTTGAAGTCAAACAATATTAAATCCACCATTGCAAACTGTAGACCTTCTTAAGATGCCTTCTTTCTAAACAATCTAAATACCTGATTTTTAAGATGTTAATGGTAGTCAGGTTCCCTCTTCCCTCCCTTGCTCCAAGGGCTATGGGTGGAAACTAAAAACAATGTCACAGATCCTATAGCCACTGTCACTCAAGCTGTGAATGTCTGGGCTGGAGGCCTGTCAGCACCAAACTGCCAATGGGAATACAGGTGTGCCATGCGTCGGCACGTTGTCCTGTAGTTCCTACGTGGAAAGCAGGGATGTAAACTGAACATGTTAGGATGGATCTGCTTCTGTTCTTAGCGCAGTCAGAAAGGGACAGGAACAGAGTATTTATAGAAGGGGACTAGAAGGATCACCAGGTATTTTTCTGCCATATACTACTTTCACATAAATGAAAGGTATTTCAAGGTGCATTATAAGGGGCAAAGTAAGAAGTCCCCAACTATCAACTTTACAGTTGACAAGCACTTTAAGGGTTAATAGCTAATAATAATACTTACGACATAGCTGCTGAAACCACTAGATATGGGGAGGAAAAGCTTAACTGTGGCATCTGTGTAAACAATACACTGGATTTTAAATTTTTAAGAGAAGAAGGATAGTATAATTGTAAGTATAGTGGCCTAGTTAAAACATTGCTGCAGCCAATGTTTTTCTCAGGCTTTTATTGCTGTGCATGACCTCTTTGGGGAAATGTTCCCCCACTTCCTGTCCCTGTAAAAGACATACAAGAAATAGGTGGTTGTTACTGATGCAGGAAGGCATCAACATTTTGTGTGCTCATGGAAGAATGTGTTATGCTATGCTGCAGGTAGGTCAATAAATAGACGTATCTGATTTGCTATTTGGAGTGCCAGTGTCCATATTCTTACGTCTCCCCAACATAGACCCAGAGAGCAGTCAAAGGCTGGCAGAGCTTCATCCCTTCTTTGCTATATCCAAAACAAAATAAAAGGTTTAATGGAGTTGAGCTTTGAAAGACTCTAGAAGGTATACTACTCTGAACTCTGTGCTGTCTCCACCAGTGTCCATCATTGTTGAATTCGCTGGCATATTTCTACCATCTATACAAATTACAACCACTATGCTCATTACATATGTGATACTGAAACAGATTTTGTTTAATGTTCACTAGTGGAGTCTAGAAACAGGACAGAGAATGGGGTGGAGTGTCCATCCTGCTATGCCCGAGCAAAAAGCTGTACGGTATCTAATATCATGAAATGCCAGGGACCCCAGACGAGATGCTTGTCATTCTCTGGAAGAATCTTTAACTCAAGTAAGTAAATCTTTATGTAATAATAACAAAGGGGTACCTCAGGTTCTGATGAAGGGGGCGTGCCCCTGAAACGCGTAGACCTTTTTAAACACACGGGAGCAGAGGACGCTGATTTGGAGATCCCCTCCGACTTCCCCTGCTGGAGATTTTATATTTTATCGTTTCTTTTATGCTTACGATCATTGGCTTTCGTGTAAGTACAATTTGACTTGCGTGTTGTACCCATCAAATAAACATTTTACACTATGGAGGCGCTCTGTGTTGCTTTTGTTTCCAACAAAGGGGACAATAGAAAGGAAAAAAGAAAGACACTCTCCATAGCAGCCAGGGTTATCAACCATACCTTGATTCTCCACTGTGAACACCCCTACAAAACATCTTCCCCTTATTTTATGAAGACAAGATGAGGGGAATGGGTTCTGTTGGCCAGCAGGAGAGAACTTGGCATGACTGACAACACTGTTTTTCATTGCAGCAGGGGCAGATTTGTTAGTATGTTGGGGGTTTACTGGCAGTATCAAAAGGTATTTTTCTGTACTCGTTATTTTGTCCAGCATACACTTTAATAATGACAATCAATGACAGTAATCTGACTTATGGAGCAGATTTTAGGCTGAGAGTCCAAGTGCATTTAGGTATCAAAACTTACAATATGTTCTTGGAACTCAGATAAGAATCACCAAAACCCTTATCTCAGATACAATGTCCATTACGAACTAGACGTGCCATCTTTGACAGTAAATGGTGTTAGGGTATAGGGCTTGCCAGTTCCACACAGCTCCCTTGGTTGGAAACATTCCACTCATTCTGGTCACCAATTTAATCCTGACATCTTTCACACCCTGGAAGACCTCAGAATTCCATGTAGAAAATTAAAGGTTGTATAAGCACCCCATGTAGTTGTCCAGTCTCCTTCTAAGATTACATGGTCCCTGTATAGCAGCCTAGGCTACCAAGTAGCCAAGTGATGCCTCTGACACTGCACACCACCATAGCCACCCACAGTCTGGAATTTGGACAGGTTATAATATATGTTCGGTTTTTAATGTTTTTACTGTTATATTTGTAATTATTCTTATTCAACTGATTTCTATCTTACAGCTCAGTTTGAATTATGGGCCTATAAGGGGTGTACGACCGAGAGTGCTTGCCTGTATCGGGCTCCACCATACCCAGACACCTTATTGCAACGAGGATACAGACTGTACTGCAATGTCCCCAAACAAAAAACCTACAATGTCAAGTCATGAAAATAAAAAAAATTTAAAGGAGAAAAGCATAGCACATCGCCACCACTTGGATTCCGCTGATGATATTTTTATACATGCAAAATAGAAAATGGAATCTCATTGGTGGCTGTCGGAAAGGCCAAACTTTTCATAAATGTCCCTCAGAATTATGAAGATACATCTGCTGTATTAAACCACAGTTTTACTTTTTATATATTTAATATTTAAGATGCTGCAGCAAAACATTTAGCTTTGCACTTGTGCAAGGGTTGTCTGTTTGTTTTGGGGAACCCATTATGGAACACCTTGTTAGTCAGGAGCTTACCTGAGTTTAGTTAGTGTCGTGAATGGCATTTGTTTTGTTTGTGTTATCCTATGGGCTTGATGTGCAAAGTCCTCCTGTATTGGAAATGTGTTTGCTGAATAAAAGTGCAGGATAAACCTGCTTTTACGTTATCTGGGTGTCTGTGTCATGTATATGGTTCACCACTGCCAATATCAGTTGAGCATGCCCCCCTTACAACTTATATACACACACAACTCTTCTAACAGTACGCATGTTTTTTAATTGTGTATTAGCGGTTTCATTCATAGACATGAGATCTGGAGCAGCCATTTTCAACCAGGGTTTCATGAAACCCTAGGGTTCCTCCAAAGATTGCTAGGGGTTTCTTGATCTGTGGTTCAACAACCATCTGATGATGATGATGGACTTGTGTCTTTTTTTAACCTGACTAACTATGTAACTATGAGTCCAGTGGCACTTTACAGAGCTAGCAACATGACACCAATGATCTTTTTCACTGTTTGTAAAGGTGGAATTCTAACCACCACCTAACCACCACTGAAAGGGAGGCATTCTTTCCACTGAAAAGCAATGTAAGGGGCATTCTTTCCTTTGGCTTATGATGTATTCATTTTAGCAGGTGTTCCCTGAGTCCTGAAAATTATTCCAAGAGTTCCACTAGGGTAAAAAGGTTGAGAACAGCTGATTTAGAGCCTTCCTAGGTTTTACATATATAATGATTATATTATCTTTAGCCCTGATGAAGGGGCAGGGGCATATTTACCGCGAGGCAAGCTAGGCGTTTGCCTAGGGCGGCACCCCCGGGGGGTCCCGCCGTACGCAAATGTCTAGTCCTGCGGTGCCGAGAAGTGGGGGGACATGGCCGGTTTAAGACAGCGATGTGGTGGTGATGATTCAGTGTCGGCGGCTTCGAGGTGACTTTTTTTTCCTTCCCGGGGGGGCGGCGGTGATGATTCAGTGTCGGCTGCTTCAAGGTGACTTTTTTTTCCTTCCCGGGGGGGCGGGTGGTGGATAGTTGGCAGCGGCGGCACGACATGTATGTACAGGGGAGAGGGGGGGTGATGCGATGCCTGATGCAGAAGCGGCGGCACGCAATGTATGTCTCCGCCGGGGGAAGGGGGTGCTGACAGTCACTCGGCGGAATGTCAGTCCGACGGGGAGAAGGAGGGGCGGCGCTGCTCTCTTGCCTAGGGCAGCAGGAAATTTAAATACGCCGCTGTGAAGCGGTAACCTTATGGTCCCTGAAACATCTTGGCGGGTTGTCTTTGGGCTTCTATGAGGGGAACTAAAACAGTTTTGAAGCCAGCACCTCCCACCCCCATTTTCTTAAACAATAAAATTCCTGCCATTTCCTATGCTATCCAAAAACTAAAACAAGACATATTTGTTACATGTTCCCCTGCACATTGTTGGCAAACAATGCAAGTGTTAATGCACCTTAACTATGTGACTATTTGGTTACACAGCTTTAAACCTTTCCAGAATGTGATTTGCATGCTCACATTACCATAACATGTATTTAATTGGCAACATCATGAATCAGAGCCAATCATTAACAGGATGTTAATGATGAAAAACCAGATCAGAGTTATGTGCTGTGAGTAAGATCTATATCCCTCTTAATTGGCTGATAAATACAAAAACCATCAAGAACATTGACAAACGACTCATAGCATTCTGGAATATTGCCATCAAAGTGAAACCATTGCATGAAACCAATGCAGGGTAAAGCGACAGGGTCACTTTATTGGCAGTCACATAATTTGCACATACTCACCTTAACCTCCACATACCACCTTCACCCATGGTAGCAAAGAGGGGAACCACTCTGTAGGCATCAAGCCAAGACTGAGGACTCTCTATTTGTCTTCAAGTGACAGAGCTGGGTGTTGGACTGCCAATCAGCATTTACCAGTGCAGTCACATAGGAGGAAGATGATTAAAGGATTAAAGGAGAACTATGGCGTCAGGGCTTTTCCCCATAGTTCTCCTAAGGGTAACGGGAGGACACAAACTAGCGTTCTCTCGTCACCCTAAGCTCAGTTTACCGCGATTGACAGAGCTGGGTGTTGGACTGCCAATCAGCATTTACCAGTGCAGTCACATAGGAGGAAGATGATTAAAGGATTAAAGGAGAACTATGGCGTCAGGGCTTTTCCCCATAGTTCTCCTAAGGGTAACGGGAGGACACAAACTAGCGTTCTCTCGTCACCCTAAGCTCAGTTTACCGCGAGCTACAGCTCGCGGTATACTGAGACGCCGCAGCCGGGACGTGTGCCGACATTACTGTCGAGATCCACCCAGCTGCGGGATTGACAGATGGCTCTGCCTATCTAGAGGCAGAGCAAGCTGTGCCCGCCCCCTCCTGCATCCGTTCCACCAGTCAGCGCTGGAGGATCAGGCAGGGGAGGGAGGGAATCCCTGCAGGGAGCTGTGAGTGACAGTCACGGCTCTCTGCGGGGATAGATCTAGAAGTGAGCGAGCGTCGCTATGTGTTCGCTCACTTCCCGATCTATTGAGCCGACCTGTGACAGTTTCATTGTCACAGGTCAGCTAGAACTATGAGGCTGAGTGATTTCCACTCGCCTCATAATTCTCCTTTAAGTCACATGCTCCCCATACCCAGAAGTACCAGGAGCTGGATGGAGCAAAGCTGCATTATGTGGTGCTGGTTTGGCCAGAATTGTTCATTTTAAGTTACCATTAGGCAGTCCATTCAAGGTATCTTGAATTTAATATCAATTTTCCCACAATCACTTGCAACCCATTGGTAAAGATTCCAGACACCTACGGTGCAGCACTGCAGGCTCTTGCCAGTCATGTTATACTGCACTACCTCCTAGCTTCCCAGTGACTGCAGTGGGGTCAGTTCAGGTGTGTGATTAATTTCTGAGACAGGTTTGTGTATACTTCAGCTGAATTCTAGTAAAAGAGTGAAATACACCATTGAAACAGAACCTCATTAACTATTTTACTTGCCAAAGGTTTCTGATTTTATTCAGCCATTCTTGTGACCTAGGAACCACTGCCAGACAACAGCTTGGTGACCTCACTTTATTCTGTGGGAATTAAAGAATATACACTGCCTGACCCAAAAAAAGTTACACACTCTAATATTTATTTGGACGACCTCTAGCTTTGATTACGGCACACATTCGCTGTGGCATCGTTTCGATAAGCTTATACAATGTCACAACATTTATTTCCGCCCAGAGTTGCATTAATGTTTCACCAAGATCTTGTAGTGATGACGGGAGAGTCAGACCTCTGTGTAAAGTCTTCTCCAGCACATGCCACAGATTCTCAATGGGGTTAAGGTCTGGACTCTTTGGTGGCCAATCCACGTGTGACAATGATGTCTCATGCTCCCAGAACCACTCTTTCACAATCTGAGCCCAATGAATCCTGGCATTGTCATCTTTGAACATGTGCAATGTGCCATCAGGGAAGAAAATATCCATTGATAGGAAAACCTGGTCATTCAGTATATTCAGGTCGGCAGCAGACCTCATTTTTTGGGCACATAACTTTGCTGAACCTAGACCTGACCAACTGAAACAACCCCAGATCATAACACTCCCCGAATTCCAGGTGGTCACTTTTTTTAGGCCAGGCAGTCTATTTAAGTGGCCTCTTATAAAGGAAATGGTGGAAGAACCAAAAACAATATGCAGTACTTATGCTACTAACACTGCCCGAAATCCAAGTGGTAATTATTTTTTGGCCAGGCAGCGTATCACTTTTGAATGGGTTGGCCCATATAGACACTGTCTCATTGCCCACTGATATTTATCTCTTCAGTAATCCCCTGTTACTCCTTACCCAACCACCAAAATACCCGATGCATCTGGGTATGGGGAAGTATGTGAACTCCTTCCATGATGCATTGCGTAGGCCTAGCCGCAGTTAATTTGAGCCTGATGAATCCTGGCATTGTCATCGTGCAATATGCGCGTGTCATTAGGGCAGAAAAAATCCATTGATATAAAAACCCGGTCATTCAGTATATTCAGTTAGGCAGCGGACTTCATTTTCTGGGGACATACATAATAATCACTGCCGTAATTATCCAAAGGAAGGCTTTTAACTATTTGCTTAGTGAAATCCAGGTGGTGACTTTTTTTTGGGCCGGGCAGTGTAGCTTGGCCACCAACCTTCCACTAGCCAGTGGCTGGACAGAGGAGTAGTGGGAAATTGACAAGGTCATCAATCTGCTGTAGACATGTGCGATTCGTTCCGAAACGAATTTCGGACGAAATCTCGGAAATTCTGAGATTCGGATGGTGACCAATTGATTCTGACTCCTCCTCCTGATTCGGTACCTCTGCTCTCTGATCAGCTGTGTATGACCCTGGCTTACGTTTCCTGACCCTACTCCTGATCTGTGATTCGGCACCTCAATATTCGGCTCCCTGTGTATGACCTCGGCTTGAACCTGACTTCCCTCCTGGTCTGCCACTTGGTGCAACGACATCCTGCCAGTGCTCCATTGGCCTCAAATCCTTTGCCTGCTCTGGTTTCAAGAGGTCACGGTGTCATCTCAGTCCTGCCGATTCACCAGCTGGTCCAAGGCACTCAAGCGCCTCCTCAAGAACCGGCCAGCCACCACTATCGGCACCTGTGCTCCACTCTGTCCTTACATTCCCTGTCACTACTTCCAGAGGGGTGGGGCAAGAGGTGCATGGGCAGCCCCCTTCTCATCTCAGTCTCCAGTCAGGTACGTGATAAACACACAGCAAACAAAGTTTTCTGGGATAATAAATCTCTGCAGCCCTAGGTCCATCACGTTGATCCTCCCTCTCCCATTCTAAGTACTGCTGTTGTGGGGGTTACACTGGAGGGGCACTAAACTACAGGCGCCGTATCTTGAATGGGCAAAGTAGAGTCTCTCTTCATTATCTGTTTATGTTTTTGTTTTTTTTTAAAGACAAATTCTTATAAGAC